TTTGGGCAAAAATTGAATTTGTGCTGATAATACCAATTTAAAATACTTATTCTCATTTCTTTATTAATATGGAATGTGCCAATTTTCATTAACCTAATTTTTAGATATTTTAATGAATATATCATTCGTATCCCCTTTTTCTTGCCCTCCTTTCTCATCTCCAAATATCTTTATTATCTTCAGTCCTCAGATGCATCTGGTGTCAATCTTTTTCCGCTACTCCAGTTTGCTGTACACTTCATGCTTCATCCGAGCCACCTTACTAATCCCCATCTACGAGCGCGCCTTGCCGAGGTAGTTGAGAGTCTGGTGCCCCAACGTGACGATGATGCAGAGCAAGAGACAGGCTGGAATAGACAAGCTGCTAGTGGATTGCTTTCAGGAGTGGCGCGTACACTTGACATGTTTGTCTGTTAATAATATTAAAAGTTTACTAATTTCTCCATCCAAATTAAACCTTTATAGTCTTTACTTTTGCGACGCTTAAACGGAATTTTATTTATTTGTAGCCCTTGATCATTATATCAACCTGATTAAGTTAATTTTGTTTATCTATTTTATTTTTGATATATTGACAGGTTTCAAGACTATCAGTAATTTATGAATAAGAACTTTTTCATCCTAGGTTGTTTAAGGGAATTTAATGAATGCCAATTGTATTATCCCGCATTGAGATAAATTTCACTTAGCCTTGCCTCCCAAAAAGTATTCTCCTACAGCTTCTATGTCAAAATCTATTGCTAGCCTCGAAAGCCTATTTATAAAATTGATAATAAGTAATGTAGTCGATTGTAAATGCGACTACAACTTTGCCTCATACAAGATCCCACTTTAGAAAGTTGTAAGGGTAGGCTCGGACTTCATTGACATTAACGTTTTCCCTGTTGACCTTAGTGAACTTTTAGCAGGTTGACATGGTAGTAACTTGCCGAGATTATACTCTGCACCACCCGGTTTCGAGTCAACGTCAGGTCTTGATTTGACCCAGGTGTGGTCCTAACTGCAGTACTGGATTATAATACATTTTCTGGAAGCAAGGAATTCAATGGAAACAGGAGGCATATTCATAACATTGCGGAAAAATTAAATTACCCGATCGTTATCATCTTCAATTAAGCAGGGTTAAAAACAGCTTTTATATACAATATCTACTGGTAGTCTTGAAACCCGACGCATAAAATTGAAAATAATTTTTAAGTTCTGATTATTTATTCGTATGCATGTCGTGTAACTGCTA